TGCCATGCACAAAACTTAAATACAAATGGATTAAAGACCTCAACATAAATTCAGCCTCACTGAACCTCTTTGAAGAGTAAGTAGGAGGTAACCTTGAATGATTTGGCAAAGGAGATGGCTTCCTGAACACAATACCAGTAGCACAGACACTGAGATAGACAATTAATAAATGGGACCTCCTGAAATGGAGATGCTTTTGTAAGGCAAAGGACACAGTCAGCAAGATAAAACAGCAGCTCACAGACTGGGAAAAGATATTCACCAACCCCACATCTGATAGTGGGCTGATCTCCAAAACTTACAAAGAACTCAAGAAGCTAGTCTCCAAAACACCAAATAATCCAATTAAATAGTGGGGTACATAACTAAATAGAGAATTCTCAATAGAGGAGTATAAAATGACTGATAGACACTTAAGAAAGTGCTCAACATCCTTAGCCATCAGGGAAATGCAAATCAAAGCAACTCTGAGATACCATCTCACTTCTGTCAGAATGGCTAAAATAAAAAACACCAATGACAGTTTATGCTGGAGAGAATGTGGAGAAAGGGGAACACTCCTCCACTACTGATGGGAGTGCCAACTCCTACAGCCACTTTGGAAATCAGTATGGAAATTCCTCAGGAAAATGGAATCAGTCTACTACAAGATCCAACAATTCTACTCTTAGACATATACCCAAAGATGCACATTCATACAACAAGGACATCTGTTCCACTATATTCATAGCAGTATTATTTGTAATAGCCAGAACCTGGAAGCAACCTAGATGCCCCTCAACTGAAGAATGGATAGAGAAAATGTGGTACATTTACACAATGGAGTGCTACCCATCAGGGAAAAAAATGGAATCTTGAAATTCTCAGGCAAATTATGGCACTAGAAGAAACCATCCCAAGTAAGGTAGCCCAGTCACAAAAACACAAACATGGTATGTACTCACTCATATATGGATTTTAGACATAGAACAAAGGATTACCAGCCTACAGTCCACATCACCAGAGAAGCTAGGTAACAAGGAGGACCCTAAGAGAGACATACATGGTCGCCTGGAGAGGGGGAAAGGGACAAGACCTCTTGAGTAAATTGGGCGCATGGAGGGAGGAGAGAGGGAGCTAAGAGAAAAAGAAGGGTACAAGAGGAGGGGAGAGGAAGACATGAGGGAGCAGGAAGGTTGAATGTGGTGGGTGGGGTATCACGGGGAGAATAGTGGAGAGCTTGACAAGAGATACCATAATAGAGGGAGCCATTATAGGTTTAAAGAGAAATCTGGCACTAGAGAAATGTCCAGAGATCTACCAGGATGACCCTAACTACCAATCTAAGCAGTGGTGGAGAGGCTACCTTAAATGACCTTTTCCAATAATGAGATTGATGACTGCCTTATATGCCATCCTAGAGCCTTCATCCAGTAGCTGATGGAAGCAGATACAGACACCCACAGCTAAACCCTGAGCTGAACTCGTGGAATCCAGTTGTAAGGAGGGAGGATGGATGGACAAAAGGGTCAAGACCTGGCTGGAGAAAATCACAGAAATAGCTGATGTGAACAAGGAAGCTCATGGACTCCAGACTGATAGCTGGGAAACCATCATAGGACTGTCTCAGACCTCCTGAATGTGGATGTCAGTTTGGAAGTCTGGTTAATCTATGGGGCCTCTGGTAGTGGATCAGTATTTATCCCTAGTACACGAATGGACTTTGGGAACCCACTTCACATAGAGGGATATTCTCTCAGCCTAGACACACGGGGGGGGGGGTCTAGGTCCTGCTCCAAATGATATGACAGACTTTGAAGATCCCCCATGGAAGGCCTCACCCTCCCTGGGGAGCAGAAAGAGGATGGGATAGGTGGCTGGTAGGTGCAGGGAAGGAGGGAAAGGAGAGTGAACTGGGATTGACATGTAAAACAGATTGTTTCTAATTTAAAAAATGAAAAATCAATTTGAATAATGAAAGACAATATTTTTCTGTGTGTGGTCATTGAAAACATTATAAGATTTACTAACATATCAAAGGATAATACCAACAGCCCAAAGTCTGACATGTAAAATATATCTTAGCCTTTTTGACCATAGAAGCCGTGGAAGAGAAGGTATTTCCTTTCCTGGTCCTGGAGGGAGGCATCTAATGTGACTGGACTCATCCAGTTAAGTGTTGGTGGGAAGAGGTATGTACTGCTCACACGTCCAACCCACCACTGCCCATCATAAAAGGTGTTGCCAGCCTTTTGTTTGTGTTACCCCCCCCTGAGAAATTTCAGGAGGTACATGCTTTAAGTCAGTATTAGCCTGGGTTCCTGAGTGATACATACATATACTGTAAGACGGTATCTGTTGGGGGCACAGATTGCTAGGAAAACCAGGAATGCTAATCACTCAGGGGTGTCTCCTCAGTGGAGGAAATAAAAATACCTGCATTCCATCCATAAATCTGGAAGTGGGAATTGTTAATGACCTAGTGACCTTTTGCTATCTATAGAGGCAGACATCATTCAAATATCCCAGAATGGTTATCTCTGACTTGCCCTCCTTAGACCTTTATCTTTAGCTACAAGTTCACAGAACCTATCCTTAGAGAATATATCACATGTACTTTAAAGCCTACTGACCTCTGTGCTATTTCAGTCAAAGACCACTCTAGATTCTTGGTCCTTAAGCTATAGACCCCACCTTCATGGCCACATGTACTTTGTAAAGGAGTTTCTGGGTAGTCACACTGTAAACTTTATTGTGCATCTGGAATGATTGTTGCGTGGAAACCTGGAATATGAATGATTGTTGCCTGGAAATTTGCCCCAAAATTGTATTATGTTTAAATATGCTGACATTAAACCACCAGACATCAGACTCCCTGAAGTTTGATCCAGGTAGATGTAGTCAATCTGAACTTAGTTTTGATTTTCACCTCCTAATGGTGATAATGCTGCCTGCCTTGACACCTGCAGAGTCCCCCTCAAGTATCAGCTTGGATTCCTGAGTGATGCCCACATAGTAAAGATAGTGTTAACCTAGGTAACTGAGTGATACACACATACTGAAGACAGTATCAGCCTTGGTTTCTGAGTGATGTCTCCGTAGAAATTGTCTTGTGTTGGTTGAATAAACTTAGGTTGTGTCTGATCTGTAAAAGGAAAATCTTTCACCTGTAATGTAGCTTGAATAAAACCAACAGCTGCAGAGCAGACCATTGTTGTGACTCAGACTGATGATACTAAGCTGAAGCTGGCCAAAGTTCATGTGCTTGGTAGGGGCAGCTTAAGAGCAAAGTTTGAGCTTTGGCATTCAGGAGTTTGGAAAGTGTCTTCTGAACTTTCACCAAAGATGAGTTAAAAGGAGTTACTCTGAAATCATGACAAACAAGCTATGTGTATCCAGAGAAGTCCCACAGAAAACTATTTTACATAAGAGCAGTGGCTGTGGGAGCCCTAAGTACAAGACAGAGAGATTCCAGCACTTACAGTGAAAATTGGAGATAGTGTTTCTGTGAGAATGAAGCACTAAAGCATTATGGATGGAAAGGAGTGTTTATTTAGAAAGGGGGCAGCCTAGTACAGCATAGTGTTACTGTTCACTTAGTGTCATATGGAACTGTCCATTCCCCAGACATCTCAAGATGTTTCATTACACAAGTAGCTTCCATGTGTCTCATCTACAATAAACTCATGATGTCTAAATTAATAACATTATTTTCTCTCAAATTCAGTTTCAAGATACTAGAATGTTTTCTTTGTGTCTTCAGTAGTCATTCAGATATAACAGTATAACAGTCAAATCCTGAGACTAAAGGCAATAAAACAGAAAGGCAGAACAATCCAGACCTTTCTTAAGACAAAGAATAAGTTTTAAAAAAGATAATTAAATTGCTACCAATAAGGTATTTAAAAGAGAACCAGTAGTTAAAAAGAAGCATACTCTTTTGCACACAGATGAAGTGGACTCTATTATTTCTAAGTGGAAACTTTTCACTGACCCATCACCAGGGACTTGCTCCAACTCAGTGTGTAAAGCCATATAGACCTTCCCTTATAGAGAGTGGTGGTGCTCATGTTTGAGGACTACAGCTGGCATGAATCCATCTTCTTATATTTGAACACTCTGAGTACCACTCTGAATAATGAATTATTTAGCAATTTTCTTTACCGGTAACTCCATTACTGGGGCCACCACCGGGTAGCATTGGACCCCTCCTCTGGGTCTTCCCTCCAGGTCCGAGAAGGAGGAGTACCTCATTTTAGAGTATGGAGGAGGTTTGCTCTCCCTGTCCTGTCTTTTTTTTTTTTTAATTCGAGTCCTTTTTAGTGCTTTTTTTAAGGGCCGCGACCTTAGCAAGTAACCGTTCCTTCTCAGACTCTGACTAGTCAGAGTCTGGGTCTGAGCTATTTTCATTTTCTAGGTCTGACAGAGTAGGATATCCCCGATTCTGACTGGAATCCCTCTTTTGGGTCGTGCCCTGAGATCTCTATTCATTCTTTTGTTGTTGCTAAGAGACTCCTCCTCATCCTCACTAACAATGGAGCCTCTAGTTTCAGGCAGGGTTTCTTCAGATGATTCATCGTCACTCTCTGCCTCAGAACTCAGGGAGGCTTGAGTCTAAGTCTCTTGTAACTCTGAAAAAGCCTCTTTTGTGGCCTGGACTACATGGTGGTGGCTAGCTTTATCTGTCAAAGGTGCGCCCCTCACTAATCTCCATAAGGAGAATGTGGATGGGGGCAGGGACTCAGGTCCCTCTTTTCGTAAAAGTTGATGAAGATCACGGCAAACTTCCTCCCAATCTGGGATATTTAAGCTTCCCCCAGTAATGAACCATGGACTCGCTCATTCGATTGATTTTAGAAAGCCTTCTAAGGTTTTAGACTTTTTTGTAGTCCATGTCCTTCAAGTAACTTTTTAACTTGATACTGTAATTTAAGCTTCCCGGAACTATTCCCCATCGTTTCTTTTCTTATTTTCCCCAATCTGTCCCTGGCCAGAAAAGAGAGACGAACCTGCCCACTTACCTCGCTTTCATGATCTCGGTGGGACCTCCAATTGCCGCACCTCCTGCGCAGCCTGTATCCGAGAATGTGGTGAGGGTTGATGACACAGACCAGTCGGTTGTGTTAAGAAAACTTTATGCTCCCCAAATCGGCTTAGGAGAACTTCCCAAGAAAAACGCTTCCCTTCAGAAAAACTTCTGCCATCCATACACGCACAAATCTCCAACAACTCTCTCACACACCTCTCACAGACCTCTCCTTCCTCCTGGCTGGTGGTTAAATCTCTGGCCCTAGAATCTGGAACAGCAGGGAGTAGCTAGCCATCGGGAAGATCAAAGTCATGGTGTTTCAGTGAGTAAGCCCTTATCGGAGCCCTTATCAGGAGCTTATGGCACTGAATTGTTTTCAGTAAACATTGTCTCGCAGCTGCCTGCTCCCAGGCTGATGGAGGGGTGGGTTTCCGGCCAGGGTCTGTGATCCCCACAACCGGCATGAGCTTACCTAAGAAACTAAAGCATATATCTTAGAGGGTATTTACCACAAGTCACTTAACTATTTATACTTCTGGTGACCTTCACTTTGGTCTTCGAACTGATTGATTCCTTGATAGCTAGCATCTGTTACCACCCAATCAAGATGTCGAAGAATCTTGCTATCATTCTTTCACTTATGCACACTGTCAGGGGTGTAGTAGGCAGAAGAACCATTGATTCTGGATTATTAACAATCTTAAGTCATTGAATATTTCTTAGTCTTAGTTTTCTTTATGGAGACAATTCTTAATTGGTTTATGGTAGGACATAAAAGAGAATGACATGAGTCAAACATAGTAACTAGCCTGCCACTAGAAATCCAATAGGCTGGCCTTGTATTCTCGATGTTTGTACTATTTGTCATCTGAATGTTGGATCACAGGTGTGTGCCACGGTGACCAAGTGAAACTCTATTTTCACAAGACAAAGTGTAATGTGCACAGCATAGACACTCTCCTCATTGTGAAGGAAGGGACCTTAACTTTGCTTGAGTGCCATGTTCTGGTGCCACATCTCTTTGCAAAGGGCTATTTGAGTAGAATGGTTTGTTGTTTGATGGTGGAAGTTCTCCTGTGTATATGCTTGTTCTATTGGTTGATAAACAAAGCACTGTTGGCCAAAAGGGAAGCAAGGTGGGACTAGGAGTCGAGGAGGATTCTGGGAAATGTAGTCAAGAGCAGGGAGTCACCATGTGATTCCAGGAGGAGAGGACACAAGTCTGGCGTTCTTGATAAGACCTTATAAAATTATGTATTAGTAGTTATGGGTTAATAATTAAGTCAGAGCTAGCCATTAAGAAACCATAACAAATGGCCAACAGCTTCATAATTAATATAGTGTCTCGTGTGTTATTTAGGGTCTGAAACAGCAGCAGGACCCAGGCAGCTGGCGGGGAAGAGTACACATTACAGTTGTTTTTGTTTGTTTGTTTGTTTTTGTTTTTGGAGACAGGGCTTCTCTGTGTAACAGCCCCAGCTGTCCTGGAACCAGCTCTGTAGACCATGCTGGCCTACAACTCACAGAGATCCACCTGCCTCTGCCTCCGAGTGCTGGGATTAAAGGCATGTGCCGATACCACTGCCTGGTTGAAATGGTTTGATCTTGAAAGTTGGCTAGATGCTTCTGAGACTTTGCTTACCCCAAACAGTGTAAGGTGTGCAAGAAGAGTTAGTTCCATTGATAAAAAAGGTAAGATCCCCAGGGCTCACTGGCTGCCATCTAGCCTCATGGGTGAGCAGCAGGCCAATGAGAGACCCTGTCGCAAAGGAGCTGGATGGCACTCTTGGGGACTGCTTTGCATCTGAGGTTATATATTACATGCACACACAAACACACAGGAATGTAAACATACATGAACATGCACAACCCACACAGGAATAAAATATTTTAAAAATGCTACAAATTTCCTTTCTTCCTTAATACCACATTGACAAAACAACTGAAGACCCCTTTACATCCTTTTGCTCCAATCCTTATGGCAACCAGCATCCTAAAATTACTATGAAATTTTCACACCCATGGTTTATATGTAAATTATGTAGGGAACTTTAAAGATGCTGTTGGTTGCAAACAAACTCACTAGATCAGAAATCAAGTTAGACTTAAGGTAAATCACCATTCAGTAGTTCTGATATCTTGTGAGCTGTGTATCCTCTCTAGGTCTTGGGTTTTTAATACGTAATTTGGCTACTCTTAGCTCCCTTAAATCCTATCGGCTCAGTCATGATGATTACAAGAATTTTAAATTCATATTTATACACACAAACTTTTGGCACTTCCTTTTGATGTTTTCGTGTACACACATATCATTGTGCCTTGCTCAATTTGGCTTCCCTTGTCCTTTTTACCCCTCTGGGTGTTCCCTTCTTTTCCCGAGTAGTTCCCCTTTTGCTTTTGCCATATACATATTTTTCACATATATATTCATAGTCATCCTATAGATTTGTGTGTATATACATGCACACATTCTTCATATGAAGGATAACACAGACTCTCTTTGCCCTCCGCCCCCCCCCCGACTCAAGTGTGCTTTATTTCATAGAAAAGTAACAAAAGTAACTGCTGTGTTTTTAGCTTCCAGTTACTTGCGTATTGACTTCTGTCTTGCCACTTTCAGTCTGTCTTTGCTAGTGAGGTGTTTCTTTGAGATAACGCAGAGTCAGATCTTGTTTTTAACCCAATAGGTCAGTTGGTGTATTTTAATTGTATAGTGAAGACCATTTACATTTAAGGTTATTGCCTAGATAGTTTTGTTAGGAGTACTGGCTCAGTTGGTAAGAGTACCTACTTTGCATGAGGACCCAAGTTCAAATTTCAGCATCACATAAAAATCCAGGCATGGTGGCGCCTGCTTACAGTCCAAGTGTGGAAACAGGCAGACCCTGAGAGTTTGTTGTCCAGCTAGCTGCGTGTGCACACTCAGGTACATGCACTTCCGTGCAAGCACACACACACACACACACACACACACACACACACACACACACGTATTCCTTATCTTTAGTTTTTATCTCAGATCTTTATTCTATTCCATGGATTACTATGTTTCATCTCATGATTATGCAAATAGAGGTCTTGGGTGGTGTACATGCTTTTTAGCTTTTGTCAACTTGACACACATTAGAATCACCTGGGAAGAGGGAACCTCTCTTGAGAAAAATGCCTCCATAAGACTTGCCTGCAGGCAAATCTCTGGGACATTTTCTTGATTAATGATTGATGTAGGAGGGCCCAGCCCACTGTGGGTCAGTGCCATCTCTGGGCAGGTGGCCCTGGGTTATATAAGAAAGCAGGCAGAGCAAGTTATGGTGAGTAGGCCAGTATGCAGCACAGGTTCCTGGTCTGTTTCAGTTCCTGCCTCTAGGTTCTTGACTGATTTCCCTTCATGATGAACTACAACTTTAAGGTGAAATAAACTCTTCATTATCCCAATTGCCTTTTTCCTTAACATTTATCCCAGCAATAGAAAGAAAACCAGGACATAGTATTTCCTTGACTGTATCTTTTATCCATGACATCATTTTCCTTTGGTTGTCTAGTCTATTGATGCTTTTGACTTTTTTGTTCCATTAAGTCTTTCATTTGCAACATTTCTACTTGGTTTTTCAAAATCTGTTTCCATGCTGAATTTCTCATCCACATTGCTGCCTTTCTTCTCTAGTTTTTGAACTGATTTCCTGACTTCATTCATTTGCTTGTCTGTGTCCTTTGCTCATTCTTTTTTTTTTGTAAGCAAACGCTAGAGTTCTTTGTCCAGCATTATATTCATATCAATATCTTTAGATTTGATAATTAGAGAACTGTGATCTTTTGAAAGAGCCCCGTTGTCATTTTTTTTAATTGTGTTTCTTGGATGTATGTCTTGCAGTTTTTACATTTGGTGGAATGGGAATATTTTTCAGTTTTATTTGGGAATGTTCTTAATGAGAAGCCTACAGGTGAGGGATAAATCCACAGTTCACAGTTCCACTCAGAGAGGAGAAAATAATCATAATAACAATATACTGCCAAACCACACCAAATACAGAAATATACGTTAAATAAATTAAAGCCTATCAATAGGCACAGAAAGGAAAATGCCAAAAACAACATAGAGTATACCATATCTACTTAATAGCCACTTAGAGTGAGAGCACAGATAATATTTGAACAAAAGAAAGGAATGCAGCCAAGAAAGGGGAAAGTAAAGAAGAACTGAGATTAAACAAAGAGGAAACATCGAGAAGGTAGAGAAGGCAGCTAGAAAGAGAGACATGAGAGGATGACAGAAAGGCATGTTACAATGTAAAGAAAAATGCATAAATACAACTTGTAAACATGAGGAGTCAAAACTTTAAATGATTTAAAATATATTATTTAAAATATATGTATTTTAAAATGTAAAATAAAATAATAGTAAAATGAAGACATGCAAGGTGCATTTTTTAAGCCTCTGGAATGTAAAAGCAATGAACTTGGGCAACTTCTTTCTGAATTCTCTAACACTGGCTCTGTCAGGCAGAAGGGGTGGTCGGCAGCAGCTGGACACTCTTTTGTTTTGTCTTGTTCAAAGTGGCTCAACAGTACTGCAGTCACTTCAGGGGCTTCCTGCCTTGTGTACCAGTTACCATTTCTTGTCACCTTTGGCTCTGTGGTAATAAACAAAACCCAACAAGCAAGTATGCAACAGATATTTTTATTAGATAGAAAAGGAGTCAGGAGTTTGCATTTTTCATATATACTGTATTTTTTTTAATGACTGAGTGTCTGAAGACATATGGTCTTCTTTTTTTCCTTGACGAATAGAATACAGTGTGGACAGGAAGAAAATAAATGGGACAACAACAAAAGAATAAAATTTCAACACAGCACTACATTAAGGATTTTTTAAAAGAAAGAGATAAGATGGCAACAAGAGCTTCTAGGACAAAAATCTGGGCTTCATCACCCCAGCAGGTTAGGGTCAACCATTTGTCCCCACTATGGCAATTACAGGCATGAGTAATGATGGAAAGCAGAGGTGGCATTATTCACAGTGGCCATGCTGGGATGAGGAATACATGAAGGGACCCGGGACTCCCTGCCCAACATCTCTGAAATCCATCATTGGAGCAGATATATGAGTCTTGGTTAAGATTGGAGGCAAGGGCTGGAGAGATCGCTCAGTGGATAGAAGCTCTTGGTGTGTAAGCATGATGGCCCGAGTTTGATCCCCAA